TGGGTAGCAACACAATATCAAATTTCCAGTGTCGTAAGAAAACAACTGCAAACCAGACGAATCAAAATAATCAGTCTCGTTGTTGAATAACCATACAGAGTTCCAAAGAATTCAACTAAGTATCAAAGGAAGTTGTGACTCGCTGCGTGAGATCTTATTGAAAGTCGATGAAGCTTAGTTTTTACTATGCATCTGTTGTCCAATTTTGAGTGAACAAGAGAAGAGAATGGAATTTGAGCGGTTGTACACACCGGTTTTACACATCTACATTGGATGAGTTGTGTGCTGAGCTACCTGGGGTCCTGAAGATAGAGAGGTAACATAACCTCAGCTAGGACGTCAGTCCGGGCATGCAAACAAAATATCCACTACGCCTACGATGGACCGAGGATCATGCATGCCCAACAGGGGTTTGGACCAGTGCCTAAGAATACTATCAAAGGAACATGGAAGTGTGTTCAACAGAATTCAACATTACCGAGAAAAGGTTATCACTGTGCTAAACAGTGGGGAAGATTGTCAGTGAAGCACACCGACGTTCGAGCGGATACTGGGCTTGAGATTAGAAAAAATTACTTCTGAGATATTTTGGCGGGTACCAGCATATCTGCATTTTGGAAATTTCAAAGCCTCTTTATATAAACTCACAATCCAAGCAAAAGACACGCAGATGAGTGGCGTGTGAACATTACGAAACCGTATTGAGGCTCAGCAGGTAGTCGTAGTCTCGAGTTTTCGACAACCTCATGTTCTGCTTCTGGCGAAATTACACAGATTTTGGCCAATATGCCCAAAACATGAGAAACAAATGAATCCGGGTGGATCTCGTCGATGATGCACTGAACTGAACTGAACTGAACTGAACTGAACTGAACTGAACTGAACTGAACTGAACTGAACTGAACTGAACTGAACTGAACTGAACTGAACTGAACTGAACTGAACTGAACTGAACTGAACTGAACTGAACTGAACTGAACTGAACTGAACTGAACTGAACTGAACTGAACTGAACTGAACTGAACTGAACTGAACTGAACTGAACTGAACTGAACTGAACTGAACTGAACTGAACTGAACTGAACTGAACTGAACTGAACTGAACTGAACTGAACTGAACTGAACTGAACTGAACTGAACTGAACTGAACTGAACTGAACTGAACTGAACTGAACTGAACTGAACTGAACTGAACTGAACTGAACTGAACTGAACTGAACTGAACTGAACTGAACTGAACTGAACTGAACTGAACTGAACTGAACTGAACTGAACTGAACTGAACTGAACTGAACTGAACTGAACTGAACTGAACTGAACTGAACTGAACTGAACTGAACTGAACTGAACTGAACTGAACTGAACTGAACTGAACTGAACTGAACTGAACTGAACTGAACTGAACTGAACTGAACTGAACTGAACTGAACTGAACTGAACTGAACTGAACTGAACTGAACTGAACTGAACTGAACTGAACTGAACTGAACTGAACTGAACTGAACTGAACTGAACTGAACTGAACTGAATATTAAGTCGACTTCATTCGGCTGCTGTCTAACTTGTTATATTCACATGTCCACTACAAAATAATAGGAAATCTCATTCGAGATCACTTCGGATTTTTTATTATTCCGATTAAACTACATTACATCTCGCCTTCTATGATTCGCCCGTGTGGTAACGGGCATGGACTTAAACAAGCTTCGGAAAATGAGGCATTTGAGGTGGTGACGAACTTCCGCGATATGATAGGATTCTGGGTGCAACAGCTGCTGATCGCGAATACGGAGGATGAGAAACCAATCAAAACGGTTTGGAATTTTTCGAATTAGTCAGGCACCTTGGCCTGTTGATAATCCAGTGAAGTCATAAAAGTTAGCCACCCGGAGATGTAAGTGTCTCGGTTCGTTTTGGTCAACCCTCATTCACAATTAGGTCAACCCTCATTCACAATAAGATCAAGTCAAATGAAATCAGGCGAACCAGTAGGATTCTTGTGTGTTTCAATGGACTTTCTTTGTTCCGAATTTTTTATGTGGGTAGCAATAATGCACTCACTAAGGAAACATTAGTTTCAATTTGCTAAGTTACCCAGTTACCATTGTGTGACACTATAGGTGACCAATTTTTTTTCGCTGAAATGTTAACTTAAGTCGGGCATGCTTAGACACCCAAGGGAATTCCGGGGAACAATCAAAGTGGAGTAAACTAAGTACGCCACCTGACGAGGAAACATGATCGAACGGCGAATAACCATGCCAGGATGTAGGGACTGGATATTAATTACCCAGAAAAAATAAACAGAAAAAAATTGATTAAAAACACTTGATAATTTGATAAAACCAAATGTTACAACTCACTATAAAAGCTTTGCTCAGAGGTGAAGTGAACTGTCCAGGAATGGATTCAACTGAACTGAACTGGACTGAATTGGGTTGAGCTGAACTGAACTGAACTGAACTGAACTGAACTGAACTGCACTGAACTGAACTGAACTGAACTTAAATGAACTGAACCAAGTCGAATTGAACTGAAATGAATCAAAGCGAACTGGAATGAAATTAACTGAAGTCAACCGAACTTAGCTGAACTGAACTGTATTCAGACAACCTGCTTCACCTGCTGTCATTTTTGTTAGATTCACTATACACTCCGAAAATAGAAAATCCCATTCGAGGACACTTGGGAATTTTCCATGGAGGAGAATGTTGGTGGCTCAGGTAGGATAGATGTCTGTTGGCTTGTTCGCTTAGCTGGGCAATTTGATTGCACACGTTACATCACCCATCGAGTTGACATCATCAGTGCGTTATTGGGGAGCCTAGCTTTACGAAGCGGTGGGTTATTGGTTTGGACTTTTTTTTAAATTTTAATATTACGATTAAACTACATCACGTTTCGTCTTCTATGGTTCGTCCGGGGCTACAGTGCATGGACATAAACTCGCTGCGGAAATAACCCACAAATTTAACCCACAAATTGTTGCACACCACGATTCGGAATGAGAGTCCAATTTGAAGAAAAGAACGACAGTGTTAGTGAAGTGACTACCATATATACCCCGGAAGTTTATTACTGTAAATGTCGCTGCTGGACGTTTAACTATAAGGTTTTTGTAGTCATGCTCGTCGTAAATGTCACCAAGGGGTTGACGCATTTTCTAGAAAGGTATATCTATTTGTGTACACTAGCTTGCTTGGACCAAGAGGTCAACACATTCTCCGAATTGTGAAGAAGTGCGTCTGGAATTATCCGCTCACGGCTTCCAAACTTATGAGCTCATTCCTCCGTTACAAGCACATCACCGTTGACTTATGCTGGGATGTCACATACATTACAATGTTGCAATATCGCGGACGTTGTCACAGACGATGTCACAGAACTAAACGAAGCGCGGAGGATAGTTTTCGGGATGCTATTGACAGAACTAAACGGAGCGCGTTCAATTTCTAGGAGACTTCAAGAAACGGCCGCTAAAATTCAAAATTGATCACAGTTCCCGTGTTCCCATGCATCCCCAACACGTATGTTCTAACACGTATCAATTCGTACCTGGAACGATCATTTAAACGTGCATTCGGTTATCTTTTCGTGGGATGAATTGTGTAAGAAAATAAACTACAAACGCGAAGTGCATGGTGCAGGTTTCGCCAAGCAGTTTCTTGTTATTTCACGGTTGTGGCCTCATATATATA